GCAACCAAATCAAGCAAACAACCACAAATAAACTGGCCGGCCGACAGAAGTAAGGAGTCTGGCTGTGAGTCAAGCGCTCCTGAAGAACAGCGCAAGCGCACAGCTTTTATACTGTGTAGTCCCACTCCTGATTGGTGTGCCGATTTAGTCACGATGGTGATTGACAGCCCCTTTGACCAATGGTTGCACAACTAAAACAGGACAGGATACACAGCGGAAGGGAGAGAAGAGAACGCAAAACAAACAACAAAACACCACAAAACATACATGAAACGTAACAGTTTATAAAAGAATTTCTAATTTTAGATGATTTACCAGACTAGAGGTTATTGATCTAGCTTGTTGGCTTGTAGTGTTAGCACTGTTAAAATGTTGGTTGACATGGGATGGGTTTTCCAACTAGTCTTCCAAAACCTCTTGACTATTGCCATTGACTAGTGTCTTTACTAGAGAGTTGTAAATGTATTATAAATGGGCTAAATTGTGACACAAAATGTCCAGCTGCTCTTTTGAGATGATCCTAGAAGTTGCTGATTAGCTGGTCAAACACACAATTCTCTTGTTGTTTTGGATTATGCCACAGTCACACTTTGTAAGTTTGAGCATGCAAAATTCTATCAGATTGTGTGATAAAATAAGGTGATGTGACACTTGATAAAATGAGCAATAAATCCATATTTTCTATTTCTTTACAGAGAGGTCACATTTTGATCTATTGGTCTCAAGTATTCACAAGACGAGGTTAAGAGGTTAAGACTCAGACATGCATAACTTGTCGCACAAGCTTGTGTTTTACAGTCTGGCACATTCACATGGGTATGAATGGAATTTTATGGGGCAAAAAGTGCAGTGTGGTCAGTTTTATGGTGGTGAATTTAGTAGTGACTGGACAGATTTAGAGATAGTCTTCCAACAACTGACTAGTTTATCGCTTGTACAGATGTACACAAATGTGAAAAAATCGCTCCTTTGTAATTGCGATGATTCATCAAACTAGATGTTGATGGTCAACAGGTTGAGGACACACACTTCCTCAGCTGGATTGGATTCATTTTGAATTACCTTGCTGCTTCTTGCTGGTGTGTTCTAGTCTACCATTTTAGTCATACCTTTAACCATCAAGATTTTGATAAGTGGTTGATGAGATTGATATTCGATACCTAACTAGTAACTTTATGTCAGTAACTTGTCTAGTGTAGTTGGGTAGTGAGTTTACTAGTCGTGAGTTAGACAGAAGCAAAAACATGGGTTGAACAATGAAACTGAAATGCCTGATTTTACACTACAATAATTCATTAGTATGATTTAGGGCATCCTTTTGCAGCCAATTAAGCATCAATTTATCTTGAAAATGGCAGATACAAGTCCTGCAGAGTGGCTAGAGGGATTTTGAGCCATTCTTGCAGAATGCTTCACTTTGGGCATGGAACGACCTGGGTGGTACACTTCTTTGGGGCTTCTCCACACTGTAACTCTCCTGGATATGGAAAAGACAGTAAAGATAGACTCAAGAGAGAACAATAAATGTTTCACATTGTCCACAGTCCAAGATTTTTGCTGCTGGCACCATTGAAACCAATGTTTGGCAATGGCATAAGTGACCAAAGGTTTGACTGAAACAGCCTAGCCATGTATATTGACCCTGTGTGAGAGCTGTTATTTTATTAAATTATGTAGAAAACAATGCATTCTAAATAAATTTCACCATGGGGTGGTCAACAGTATTATTTTTTTATTTCTTTATGAGATTAATTACCAGACTAAAAGTTGCTAGTCACAGGTTAGATGGTTCGTGTCCATTATTTGGTCTCCACTGAAGCTTTATACAGGTTATAATATGGTGGTTAGTCTTAGTCTAACTAGTGGCCATAATATATATGCTTCCAAAAGTGTACAGGGACTAGTCATGATGGTCAGTTAATCCTTCAACTAGTGAATCAGTGTATCTATTAGTGAATTTTACTACATATCTTTTCAGCAGTGCTTAACTTTTTTTTCGCCAGCCAAGGCCCTGCTTTTCATATTGATGAGAGCAGTTTTCCTGCAGCTGCCTTATGCACACAGATACCTGAGTTTGTCTTCTGAAACTCATAAATTTGATCGACGCATCTGTTGATGTATTCATAGGGCCACAGAAAGGCGTATATATTGTCATCTCTCCTTTAGGAAAGTGTCATGCTCTGACTGCCACTGATTAGATAAGTTTACATGCCCTTGACCCAGTTCCCCTTCTTTCTCCATTCTTGTGGGATGAGGGTTGTCTGTGCATGAGGTATTTTTATCATGTACGTCAAGAATTGATGTTCTGCTTAAATATAAAGTGCAAAAATGTTAACCTGTATTCGTAGCCACAGTCTACTTTAATAACTGGACTGCTAAGATATTGATTTTATTGTATAGTGCATCACTAGGCAAAATCCGGTATAAGTTTCTGATGGTATGATAACCTTGGATAAAAATACCACGGTATTGTGATTACTGCGCTAAAGTAAGTTCTTTTTAAATGTCTGAGTAAAACAACAAAACAAAAAACACAAATTTAACACATTTGGAATGGAGAACATGTCAGGCTAAATTGTTAAAATAAATAATTGACTTCTGCTTTCTTCATTAGTTTCAAAAACACTGATTTCTTCACAACACATAAAAAATACATTAAAAGAAACCTTTATAAACAGAACATTTTAGCGGTACAAAACCCTTGACTTTTCCAAACTGCGGTAAACCTTAAAATCGTCCCCTGTCTATGCATCACTAGACAGAATTTGAAGGCATAATAGGTGCTTTCTTGACATTTAGGAGGTTGTTCCAAAATGTAATGTCTTAATAACTATGTAATTATGTTAGTGTGTGAAAGGATAGTTTGATAAATGGAAATTCTGTGTTCATTTACTCAATCTCATCCAATTCCAATGAGAATCTTTTACTTCTGCAGAATGCAAAAGCCAATATTTTGAATTTTCTTTTACTATTTTTGCCCATGAAATAAAAGTCAGCGCCCAGAATTAAAAAATCCAATTAAATCCCAGATTTTTTTTTATTGTATAGATTTTCAAAGGGTACGTCTAATTGACATTTAAAATATAATTAAATGTACTATAAAACATAAAAATTAATATTGAATAATACACTGCTAAAAAATTAGGAATGCTCCGATCAGGTGATCGGCTGATACTGAGTACCAATTCTAATGCTTTAAGCTTTATAATGCATTAAGCACATTTTCTCTTTAAGTATGACCCTTAAAAGAAGATCTCACCTTACCTAAGAGAATAAATAAAGGATGCTGCATATAATACCCTAAGCACGTCTTTTATAACCATTTAGATGTTAACATGTTGTGACCAAAAGCAACAGAAAATAATTTGTTAATTCATTTTACTTCGGCTTAGTCCCTTATTTATCAGAGCTCGCCACAGCGGAATGAACCGCCACAGAAAATAATATAACACAGATATAAAAATGGATAAGAAAAAGTACAAACATTGAAATTTGGAAATACTGCAAATGACAAAAGAAGAATTCAACATGTCTCAATCAAGAAAAGGTTTGGAGTGCACATTTGATGCATAAGAAGTTAAAATGCACATCTGTAAATGTGATACTTCTTTACTAAAAGGAAATAGGTCTATAAACTTCTGTTTATTGCAATGAGTGTATTACAAGAAGTTATATTGTTGAATATTCATGTCCTAAAAATATTTTTATCTAAAAAAATTTTCTTGGCTTTTAGTGAACTTGCAATATTGTCAAAAACACAGAACTTTTAAATGTTATATGTAAAAAGGTCTAAATACATGCAAGACCATTGAAATATTTTGCTCTTCTCCAAGTAATGACAGCACTTCTGGAGAGTCTTACAGCAGCTTGAACTCAGTGAGAGAGAGGGGGATTTGTACTCGCGATATCTTTATTGCTCTGTTCATTTAACCTAAGAAATGTAATGCTTAAAACATCACTACACGTGCCTCTCGCGATCTTTTGTCTTCCTTATTCACCATCGTTGCCATGATTTCTGGGGATTTTAACAAATTTTGGGGGATCTTGGAGCCAGTATGAGTATGCTGGAGACTTGCGGAGCTTCCAGTAGAGGTTATAAGGTTGAATGAGACAATAGTTAGGTCGCATCACAGCAGCTCAAAACACTGGATACTGTGTACATTGGCTGCACTTGCAATAAGAGACCATCACTCATGCGAGTCGTGCCAATAGACTGTATAAACAGGTTGCACCGCATCTGTATATATTTTAGCTGTTGTGATGTGAGCGCATCGATCACTCATGCCCCTACGCGTCATTTACCTCCTCATGTTGTGGCTGCTGTAGGGTATGTATAAATATGTGAACGTACGTGTGTCTTTCTCTGCTTGTAAACTCCAGAACAAACACCTGCGATCGTTTATAAGATCAGCTATATTGGCGAGTATGATCAAGTCATAAAAAGTGATTATTGCCGATACCAATTTTTAACCGATCAATCATAGCATCCTTAGTAATGTTAGTAGTGTTAGTCAACAAAGTAGAATAAATGTACATTTAAGGTTGGCCAAGATTATTAAAACAAGTTAGGCTGTACTTATTACAATTGTAAAGGAAATGACATAAAATTGAGCATCCACTTTCATTTTTTTTTTAAGCACCCAAATTTAAAGTACACTTAAACTGCATATTCAATTCAATTCTTCTAACTAACAATAACCTTATTAGTCTACTTTAACTGGTCAAAATCTATGGCAGCATCACTTATCCTTCCCAGGATGCAGTGTGATGTAATCAGTAAACAAATACACCCGGGTGCATTGTGAGCTGGATGTGATTTCAACAGACAGTCCAAAGTCATTTTGGCAACCCCACCGAATTATTGATTGTTTTTGTATATGCATAATAGTTATGTGTCCATTAGTAAACCGGTAGTGGTTTTTAAATAAATAATTTTGGGGTTGCCGCCACCATAGTCTGCTCATCACCCGTCTGTTTCTCTTTCTGTTTGTTCCTTATAGCAGTGGAGAGGTCAAAGTCACAACAGGTGCGGAGCACAGGTGCTATCAGACGGACTTCCTCTCTGGGTGCAATAACCGGGCCCTACCTGATAGGGCAGTGGCCACGTGAATCCCACTTGCACAACCCCTTGTGCATGAAAGACAAGTCCACACAGGTAGGCTCAAAATCTACACTCAATCCTGTGTGTTCAGGTGTGTTTGCAAACGTTAAGTTGACCGCATTTACAAATCTGTCGTTCTTCTGGGTTATTGTTTTACTGTGTAACTGAGGACTTGTGTTTTATCCCCTGTGATTTATCTAAGCTGATACCAACTGATGATGTAAACCAAAGGTTCTCAATCCCGGTCCTCGAGGTCTGGTGTCCTGCAGATTTTAGCTAGAAACCCAATCAGACAGACCTGGGCTAGCTAATCAAGCTCTTACTAGACTTTCTAGAAACATCTTGGCAAGTGTGCTGAGGTAAGTTGGAGCTAAAATCTGCAGGACACCTGACCTCCAGCATCATGTTTGAAATCTGCTAATGTAAACACTCACTTTGGCCCCGTTAACACTGTCAGGTCTTGATGGCCAATTCCGATTTGTTGCCTATATCAGATTTTTTTTGTCTGTCTGTTTACACATTGTTTTAATTGTGACCCATATCCGATTCATGTGTTTACACTTGCCATACAATTTACAACATCACGCTTGCGTAAAGGTGGGTTCTAGCATCTGCGCCACACTAACCACCATAAAAGAAATTGTCCTGCTTCTAGCTCTGTTAAAAATATGCGAAGTTCACCCAACTTTAAAATGATTTTGAGGTCGAGAAAAAGGGAAAGGCCTGTCATTGCAGCTTGCATTTATGGTTTAAATATGGTGTCCTCCATTATTCAGAGAAATTTGTGGGTACGAGAGAGAGATCTCAGGTCTGGTGGGAGCAAATTGTGGTGACTTCACTTTCCTCCTCCATGTTTCCTCTATTGTTGTTGTTTACCACGTTGGCCTCTCCACAAACGCTCATCCTTCTGTCATTAAACCGCGGAGAAGTACCACAGTCGCAAGTTTAATGATGTACAAAACGGAATACATCAATAAATCCAATCTGCCTGTTTACGTGATAATCATATTGTCACATATCCAATTTATATCTGATTTATTTCTCGTTAGAAGGAGACCTGAAATCGATCTCTAAATATCTGAATACATGCATTTTTTTCATGTTTACACTGTTGTAGTACAGATCCGATCGGTCACATATGAGCAAAAAAAAAAAGGAATTGGGTCACATTTAACTGGCTGAGTAAAACTTTGAGAAGTCTCTTTCACTTGGAACACATTTTTGTATCTAAAAATGCGAGACATAGCACAGGGAATGTTTTTTTTTTTTTTGAGTGCCTATAAACAGAAGTTTGCAAAACTAGCCCTTCATCTGAGTTCTTCCGATTGGTCTACTGCTTTAAGACTGACATTGATGAGTGGCTGAATGTACTGTAAATGTTCTTTTAAGTTGACACAGCATCTAAATAAACAGGTCACTCATAAAACACACAAGCCTAACAGTCATGCATGTCTTTCAAGTCAGCGTTTACATTGAAAAACTATGGAAAAGTGCAATCTGTGTGATGAGACCTAAAAAGTCATTTATTAAATTCTTCACTGGTCTCATCGCTTTAAAGACTTTAGAAGAATTTGTTAACTGTAGTTACCTTTAGCATTTTTTTTTTCAGGTCGGTAGCTAGATATTTTACTGCTTACATATAAGAGGCCTGGTGTTTTACCCACAGCTTAAAACTGGCGATTGATTCAGTCACCACAATATTAGCATTGGGGTTGCTAAATCTGTGTATCAAAACCAGCCCACTGTATGGGTTTAATCAGAGGTTTTACACTAAACTATCTTGACAGTTATGCAAGAAAAGTTACGGGATTTTTTTTGAAGAAGAAGAAATGGTTTCAATTTTTGTAATGTCAAAGCAGGAATTCTACCTAATGCGTTACAATAATTGAGATTTTTTTAAAGATGAAAGTAAAAGTTACACTTAACCAAGTGAAATATGTACTTGGCATTTTACCCATCCAAATACACAAACACTGCATTGAGAACTGAACACACACACACACCATGAACACGATCATTCTTTTTAAACTTTAAACTTTCATTCTTGCCGTCATTAGTCCCTTTCACACATACTGTACAGACCTTTCCGGAAAATTACCGGCAATTTTCCGGAAAGGTTGTATGTGTGAACAGGCCCTTTTTGAAAATACCGGTAAATTCGTTCTGGCTATTTTCCGGAAAGAGAAGTTGTAACATTACCGGTAATTTGCCGGAATGTTGCGCTGTGTGAATGCAGAAGGAAGATTGGCGGAAAGAGCGCGTGCACGTCTAGAACGGGCTGACGTGAGACACCTGCTTTAGCCAATCAGAACAGTCAGACGCATTCACGTGCGCGCGGTTTATGAGAATAAAAGCCTTTGAATATTTTTCCAGACACCTTTAGCTGCTAGATGTTAGTCAGATAATGTTTCTATGTTCCTTCTTAATGCTAACTGTGTAAATAATTATCGATAAAATGTTTATGATAATCCGTTGTTTGTTTACCTTCAAGCTTTGCGTGTGCCCGTGAGCGCCCATAGCGCCAGCACACACACATATCATGAACATCTCGACATGCGAAAGTGTTACCCTATGTTTTCATTAGAGTTGTACTCAATACTGATCCATCCGAAGAGTTTGTAATGTAGTCAAATGTTTACAAACACAAGCGCAGCCGTTTAGAGGTCATTTCTGGTTAATGATGTCAGAATTTACCGGCATTTTGCGATGGATGTGTGAATGCTCTTTTCCGGAAAAATTCCGTAACGTCCTCGCCTGTGTGAACAGCGTTTTTTTGAATATACTGGTAAAGTAGTTCCGGAAATGTTCCGGATATTTACCGGTATCACTGTGTGAAAGGGGCTATTGTCATGTGCGAAGAGACCATCCACAAACGTTTTGAGAACATCTGAACGTGTGAATGAAAAAGAAAAGAAAAATGTACATTGTGAATAACCACATGTATCGCATATATACTATGTACGAGTAACCTTTGTTTTCTCAATACTGTTAAAATCTACGTGAAGTCAAAATTTGCAATGTGTATTTTGCTAGTGCACTTGGTTATTATCAAGATGAATTATTAATCAATTTTAAAAATAATAATTAACTTTGGTAATATTCATTGGAATTTTGACTATTTGGGGTGGTGGTCCTTCTGTTGACATAAACTCGAGGGCTTCTACAGCAACTGTAAGTCAATATACTTAAACCTCGCCCTCTTATCGTTAGTTTGCTATGAGAGAATGTTGCACAAAAGAAAGCCCTTCCCCCTCTCAATATTCTGTTTGAGTTGGAAGTACATCAACTTAATGAAGTAGAAGTATCAGCATCTTCCGGTTAATGCAAAAAAAAAAGTAATTATTAATTTATGTACTCGCTGATTATGCAATTCATTATGAGTATAGAGTCCTTGCTGATAAAGCTTCACCCATGTTCTCTTCTGAAGTGATTGATTTTGTTGCATCTTGTCATGGTATGACTGAAGTGAACAGACATACTGCCTCTTGCTTGAATCTTATTGCATCGGGTTAGGGCATTCTTACACCTATTATACAATTTTACATGTCTCACAATTTTTTACATGACGATTATGGAGTTAGATTTGTTTCTTTATTATTTAATCAAAAATATTTAGTTTTAGAGAAAAATGAAGTACATAGTAATTAAAAAATAAAAGATTGCGAATAAAAAAAGTTAATTTAAAAACGTATGTCAATGTTAATAAAATATTTTGTATTGCAAAAAATAAACTATTGTCCTATTATCGGGTTTCCGCGGGGTCTTAAAAAGTAAAAAATTTTAAAATCGAAATTTAAGATCTTAAAAATTCTTAAATTCGCTGTTCGAGATCTTGAATATTTTTGCACAGGTCTTATTTTTCCGATGTCCATGTAACACTACATCTAAGGCTCATTTAATTTCTTTTTTGTTGTTGTTGCTAGGTGTTCATGGTGTTGTAGTTCTTTATTTCACTAGTCCAATTTTAATTTGCAGTATGCATGTAAAGATTCTAGATGTGAAAAAAACAGCATTACAGAGAGCAAAATGAATGAGTGTGCAATGAAAATTGTGGTCAATAGTTTATTTTTTGCAATCCAAAATATTTTATTATTATTGACATAAGTTTTTTTTTTTTTAAATTTTTAGTTGCAATCTTTAATTTTATAATTACCATGTTCTCTGAAAACGAAATATTTTTATTTGATAAAAAAAGAAACAAATATAACTCCATAGACAATCACTACATAATAGCATTTACAATTACAGTTTGTTTTCACAAGAAAAATCTGGCCTAGGCATTGATAGCTGGTAAGCAAACACCTTCAGTGGGGTTGTAAATTATTACAATAACAACTATTATTTGAAATTTTCAATATAATTTTTAAAAAGCTATTGCTAATGAGCTAATAATAATCACCTTGCTCTACTGTCTTATCTTCTAACATAGTTTTATTATTAGAATATGAATAGGTATAATATATTTCAATACAAACTAGCTACACATATTATGTGAATTTCTTTTTCTAAATTTGATTAAATTTTTTAGAGATGCATTTCACTGAAGAAGGGATTGAGTGCAGATATATATGTGATGCTGGTTCAAACCAAGTTTTTTTTTTTTTTTTTTTTTTTTTTTTAAAGTCTTCACACATTCAGCCCACATCTATTTATAATAGATTCAGAATGAGCTGCACAGTTAATTCTTTAACAAAACAAAAAGCATAACCTACGTAAACCAAGCTAAACAAAAACCCTTATTAACTCTTTTTAACTCAATTAACTCTTTAACAACCACCTGTTCGACTTTTTATTCATAGGCTATTATTATTTATTGCTTAATACTATTTATTAGAGTCGTGTCAATATTATTATTTAATGCAAGCGTGGGCCAAACAAATGTGTGCAGCTTAAAGGGTTAATGTCAAGAACGTATGCTTGCTTAGAGTAGTAAGAAGTTAAAGTCGTAGTTCATTACCTTTAAAATGAATAATTTCAGGTTACTGATTTCATTGCGTTTTGCCTATGAAGCTTTGTATTGTAATGAATTCCGATTTCCATACTACAGCTACACT